GGAGGGGCGGTGGCGGCGGCGGCAGCGGCACGGTCAGTTCCACGGGCAGCACTTGGCGCGCAGGCTGTCGCATCACAACTGGGGTCCTGCGAACAGGGAGAGGAGAAGAGAGGGAAGGGAGTAGTAGCGTGGCGTGGCGCGGCGGAGTTGGTAAGCTGGAAACAACGCCTGTGCCCCCCGTCCGGGGCCGAGCTGGGGGCCCCCGGGGGGAAGGAGGGGGAGGGGCGGGGGCGCGCGGCGCTTATCCGGGGAGGGTTCTCCTCCTTCCCCTCCGTGGTGAGGTGGGGGCCAGGATTACGCAGGGACGGGGGCCGGGCGGAACCGGAGGCGTGGCGAGGGGACAGCCGTACGTACCGTACCGAGACACACGACACGACTAAACGCACCGAGAAATGAACATGACAGCGCATGACCAGCAGCAGCACGGCTGCACCAGCTCACCATCCCATGACCACCCTAACCGCACCGCCCTGGCGACCACGGCCATCTCCGCACCGCATCTCGCGCCCCGTCCCCTTCCCCCGCGAGGTGCTCCGCGAGCTCCCCGCGCTGCGGCCGCCCCGGCCGGACCCGGGTACTACTCGGGCGGCCACCCCTGTTGCCGCGTATGTCGCAAAGGCATGTCCGACCGGAAATGAGACGCAGGTGTGTAAAAATAATGGCAGTGAGAAAAGGGGAAGTGACTCACAACGATGGCGTTACGGTGCGTGTGTCCAGCAGACCAGTCGGGGGCGGTCTCACGTGACGCACGGGGTGGCGCTGCGCGCGGGACCCCGAGGCCCGGCGGCCCGCGGCTCCGCGCCCCGCCCGGGGCCATCGCGGGGGGGCCTAGCCGCACCATCAGTTAGGCCCCACGGAGCGGGCCGGGCCGATGCCACTTCCCTTGACGTCCACCGTGTTCACGGAAGCCTCACTCGCTTCGCAGTGCTGCGCGGCTTGGAGAATGCGGTCAGGAGAAAGAAAACGGTGTCGACCAAAATAAAGCGAAAGGTCTCTGGAAAAAAAGAGAAAGGCGGGGTGGCAAAGCACATACACGCAAAAGTGGTTGCAGGGCCGTCGCGGCGCTGGCCCCGCGCGCGCCCACTCAGTAAAAAGGGGTGGTTTGGCAACATCCTGTAGGACGAGGCATACTCCGACGGTATGTACTTTCTCTCGCCTCCAAGGGCGTAATCGTGAACGGTCAGTGGGGTGGAGGGGGGCACCTCTGTATAACGCGCTTAGTACAAGCAAGAGATGAGAGGGCGTGGGAGGGGAGGGAGTACACGAGCATGGAGGGAGGGGACGCGTTATTACGCTAGTACAAGTTAGTACGTCTTTAGCACAGGCCTGGGTACGAGTTAGTACACAAGTGATTTTTCCCTCGTCTTTGGTATACGCAGTGTACATTCTACTACCAAGTACGCAAGGCGCTCGCTGGCCCCTGGTCATAGTTACATAACCCGGGCCTCAAAAGACCTACAGGTCTTCACAGTCCCGAACGAGT